AAGAGAAAGAGAAAGAGAAAGAGAAAGAGCGAGCGAGAGAGAAAGACAGAGAGAAACCCATCCTAATCTCACTTCATCCAACTGAGCAGGATAACCACACCTCTTCCAACCACGCCCGCTTGGATGCTGCTGATTGGTCGGTCAAGCTGGACCAGCTTATACTCATTATTGGCACATTTACGCCACTGTAGATTCCGGCCACCGTAGATTACGCCACACCGTAGATTCCGTGACAATTCACTACGGAGCCACATTTTTCGAATGTCCCTATCGCAAAGCCGACTGGCTAAAGCTGGAGCCAATCCTTTCAAGCGAACGAGTGAATTTCTAAATATTCGCCATTGTTATGTGCAGGGTAGGAATCGCTATCTAAGGCAGGAGACAGTTCGTGGAAGCACAACATAAACATGGGTGTTGGGGCGCGGGCAAACTATCGTTAGAATGACGAGATGACCGTGCAACGTTGGCCAGGTTTGTGAGCGCGGCTCAGTAAAACACGCAAACTCACTAACGATCAACTCGTTAAACGTAATAACGTGAAAAATTTTAATTGATCATTTGTCATTATTTTAACATTTACATTATTATTATTTACTTATTAGAACTCTCCTTACATATTAATCTATAATCTATCATTGTCATTCTCATCTTTATCATATCAGGACTATGTGATAGGAGAAGTGATCATGAGTGGGCACTTGCCCCCCCCCCAGACAAATGCAAATACTCTTCGATGGGCAGTAGCCAATGGCAAGCTTCCCACATTTGCAGCAACTGCCCGCAACACAAACCATTCGTGGTTTTGACCGCCCCCTCTCCCACACAAAATGAGTTAGCTACGCCCCATATACGTTTATTATATTTATCTGTCGAGCTATCAAGGGTGTCGGTAGGTGCCCAATATCTGTCTATACAAGAGATTCGGTCAGCCATACTGGATGATCTCTCCCCCTAACAAGTTACCGAAATATTGCCAGCCACTCAAAATATATGAAATATATGAGGTTGTGTCAAAATATAGAGGAGTTTTATAGGATCCTATAAAACATAGGAAATATAGGAAATATAGGAGTTTGTGTGAAAACATAGGAGTTTTATAGGATCCTATAAAACATAGGTAATATAGGAGTTTTATAGGATCCTATAAAACATAGGAAATATAGGAAATATATGAGGTTGTGTCAAAATATAGGAGTTTTATAGGATCCTATAAAACATGAAATATAGGAGTTTTATAGGATCCTATAAAACATAGGTAATATAGGAGTTTTATAGGATCCTATAAAACATAGG